TTATACCTATATGAATGAGCGTTATAAATGCAATTTTTTGTATTATTACGTTTTTTCGTAATTCTCAGTTAATAAAAAAAGAAGCGTAAAGATGATCATCTTTTCGAGAAACCAATAAATTTCAAATTTACCACAGTCACTTTAATTAGGTAATTGAATTCGTTGGGGAAATATATTTTAATGCATAAATAATAAAAATATATTCTGATATTACATTAAAGCGATTTTTGGAAACGTCGAAATTATTCGCATGATTTACGAGTTTTATTTTATTATATTCAGCATTTTTCAATAAAAAATGAAAAAAGAGAAACACATATACAGACAATCGTAAAGCGGAAAATTGTAAAATTGCGCGCTTAAAATACGCGCAATATTAATATACCGATAATTTCATTTCGTGCGAATACAATTCGAAACGGAATTAATATTTCCAACGTTAATCTGGAATTGACAAAAAATTGAAGACTGACGCGGTGGTAGCATTCTGAATCGCGTTCTCCTGAAGTTAATATTTAAAAAAGATGTAAAGGCGGCATAAAGGGAAAGCTGTCTTGTGTCTTGTTTGTGCATATGCGCGTTTTATTCGACTATACACATACAGTCCGTCCCAACGGACGTCAGCCCACTTCCTCATAATGAAGTGCATTATAAAACTGGATTATTCTGACAAGGCTTTCGCGCTGTATTTACATTGTTCCTACTTCGCGTACGTTAAAGTAAAGCTCTATGATGATTCCTTCCATCAAGATATTCCATCGTCTCGAGAAAAATTTTACATTCAACAATAATATCTATCTTTTCGTTATAAATATCGCATGTATTTTATTTATAAAATATATTTTACTGCGTAGATAAGCAATGCACAGTATACAGTATAATGTATAATAATACTTACTCTCATCTAAATGTATAGTAATTTTCGCTCTTAAAACGTTTTTATTTAAAAAACTATATTGATTGCCACTTTTGTGATATTATATTCCTTATACCTTGATTTAGTAATCTTTTGTGCGTGTTCAGAAATTATAAGTTCAGATAGTATAATAACATGAAGATGCAAATAACTGATCTTTATTTACATCTTTCTTACGAGTGACAATGTCATCTAAAGATGAGTAATGTTCATCATTAACTTGGATTATAAGAAAAGCAAACAAGCGAGTCAAAAGCGATAGAAAAAGTTTCATTCTGAACGCGTTCAGAAGTTTTTTTCAATAAAGACATCCCGAAGTACCATCAATTAAAGCCCTCGTTCATATCTGTCAATAAAAGTGACAGTAAAGTTTCTTTTATCGTAACAGTATGTCCTGCGCATATTAATTTATTTACTATTAACGCGAGTTACCGTACAACAAGGCATTCAATATGTACATAATATTTTCGCTCCAGCACCGATAATATAAAGCGATTAGTGACCGGACGTAATGACGATAAATGACATAAGCGCTAAAAGCGTGTATATCCACGGTTAGCGTATATACCCGTTAGTTTATACGACATGTAAATACGATTGACAACCTCGCAATCTCCAATTTGTGTCGTTCGATTGAAATAACAGTGCGACTCATTTATTATTTGTTTTACCTACAAACGGCGCGGAAAAAGTCGGTCGTGGAACGCGTACGTCATTAATGAGGCACTCAGGAACTACATTCCCAATTAGGATGCATTACATACGTGCAGCGTTTAAAGCCTGCAATTAGTGCGACGCGATATAACATTCTGTATCCTAGCTGCTGGCTGCTGCAAGCCAGACGGTCGACGCGGGACATTTGTAATGCGGCCGTACGTCATTCTCTTATTGCGCGTTACTTTATTAGACGCGCCGGCCGAATTTTGCCGCTCTCCAGCATTTTAGCGTGCCGACAAAAACGCACGTGCACGCGTCGCGAGTGAGCAAATAGCAGGTGCAATTTCCGCAGAGCGACGCGGCTAAGAGCGGTCGTTCGGTTCACGGTCTTGGGATGTCGCGATGTCCATTGCACGAACATAGGAGTGCCGGGTAACGAGATCATAAAACGTGCGACTATCCCACGTGAAAGCACGTAGCTGCGCAATCTCGTACATTTTATTAATACGCAATAAACTCGGGAAAAATTTCGCACGGCTATTCATGCTTTTTGCAACACTTTTAACCTTTCACGATTTTAAATAGAGGTAAATTCAGCGCGGTGATGTTTATGATACTCTTGTACTTACTTCAAACGTTAAACGATTACGATTTTATAATTCAGTGCTCTTTTTTAATCGAAAGTTATTTTTTATTAAACAGAAGCAAAGAGATATAGTGAGTTTTTCATCGTTATGCATTGGTCATTATTGTTGATATTGTTCACTACAACGAGGTGATATAAACTGATTGTGAGAAACGTCTGTTGAAGACATGCCTGTTCAATTGACAGTCGAGAGTTGAAACTTAAAAGATGATAGTTTGGAATTTACATATGAATACGTATGAGTATGTAAATTCCGAAGTTATGTAACCGACACACGTGAACATGTGTGCCTGTGTACAACCCAAACTATCGCATTTAAATAGTACTTCGAAAATTACATTTCATAAACGGAAGGAGCAACGTTGAATCACAATAAAGTTTCACGTGTCACGTATAAAGTTTCACAACGCGCGCGCGCGTGAAGGTTTAGCGCGTATTACGCGATGTCACGTATAGAGGATACTCGCATTCTCGTAAAGTACACTTCGCAAAAATACGGAGTTATATGTGGGAGGATTGCAAACACCAAAACCGCGGGTGTAGATGTTGTGTTGTACGCAGCGCAAGAGTCGCTGGAGATCTTTCGGTTAATTCACGCGATGCATTTTCACGCTTATGGACCGACATCCATCGACGATAATTGCCCGTTCCATCTTTACGATAGAGAGACACTTTGGACAGGTTTTTAGGGAGCTTTGTCTGTTCTCTCGCGCATGAAAAATCGTTCCGCCGACGTGTTCCGGTCGTAGCGAAGTTACGAGGGCTTTTATCAATAGAGTGTTCAATTCTCTGCCGCGAAAAAATGAGATGGTACCAAAAACGTTCCACAAAAATATCAACGGGTTTAATGGAATGAAAAAGTTAACGAGTTATTTTAACATTTTATAAAGGACAGTCATTTTCAATGTATAGTATCAAATTTAACAAACTAAACGCGCTTCCCACGAAAAATGCACGACGTTAAAATAATAATGAAATGTTTGATAAAAAGGAGCAACTTTCGAGAAAATTCTGAAACTAAGAAAATATATTTTAAATAATGTATCAACTTTAGAAACATTATTAAATGAACTTAAATTAAATTAATCGAAATAGATTTATTTTCTTTTGTAAATTTATAATATTATTTACGTGGTGTTCAATCAAATTCATTGTCCACGTGTATGTACACCTACATCGCTAGTATGATGATAGAATTGTCTCTTGTTATTTTCGGCACAGAGCGCAGATATTTTTCCAGAGGATTCCACGTATATTCTGGATGCGAGTTTTATAATTCTCGATATGCTATTTGTTTTGTCATCGAGATGGCTTTGCAACATATCTCGAGTCACGATAAACCGAAGGCGCAAGCTGTGTGCCATACGCCTTGATCCTCATGCATATTCAAATCTAGATTGCCGTATACCATGTGTACATCGTCCATCCCCGAAATCCAAACGTTTTCCGCTTGCGTCGGTTCATAGCGTTGCTCTCATCTCTCACCTTTATGCGCGATCTTTATCATTTAGTGTGAAGTAAAAGAGCCGGACAAGTACGGCATTTGTTGCGCCTCATGTTTACAAGAAATTAAACAAGTTTTAAATATTCATTCTCTATTAGTAAATTATCTTCAACGAGATATACAAAATCTTTGTGTTATATCACACAGGCTAAATATTGCTTCCTCATAGAGGAAGCTTTGTTTTCGTGAATTTCGTATATGAACCTTTGATTGCGTATAAAGTTGGGTTTAGTCAACCAAATTTAAAAAAATTATATATGAAATAGGAGTAGAAGAAACCAACGAAGAGTTGGTTTTTGAGTTTTTTCTGCCAATATGTTCAGATTGTTGTAAAACGTCGAAATATCGCCTAAAAAAAATGTCCGTGTGTATGTATGTATGTATGTATGCTTTTGTTGTCCGTATATGCTCTAACTTCCGTAATTTTTGAGATATCGGGATGTTTTTTTTTTTTAATTGATAGAGTATCATTCAAGGAAGGTTGCAGTATTGAATTTGGCGATGATCGGTAAAGGAATTCTTTTTTAAAAAATTTTTGAATTTTTTTAGAAATGTCCGTGGTTGCTCTAACTTCCGCAAATTTGGAGATATCAATTTATTTCTAATTTTATTATATTTTTTAGTCTTTTCTACCCTTATTTTATATATAATTTTTTAAGATTTGGTTGATTAGATCCAGCTTTATACGCGATCAAAGGTCCATAATTTTGATCGCATATAAAGCTAAGTTTAATTAACCGAATTTAAAAGAATTATATATGAAATAGGGGTAGAAAAGATTGAAAAATATAATAAAATTAGAAATAGATCGATATCTCCAAATTTGCGGAAGTTAAAACTTCCTCTATGAGGAAGCCATGTGCAAATTTCTAATTTGTACAATTTTAGTGAATTGTTTATCAACAAGATTTTGATTTACGGCGAATATTCCCCTTCAGACACAAATAAATTTATTACACTAAGCTATTAAGTTAATGTTGCGAACATATCATTCCACAGTACGTTTGCAAGTTAATTAAAGAGATGTTTAACGGAATCTATTTAAATACGCTTGTCTGACGTCATTTCCGCATGCACACATATGGCAATTTCATATCAATGACATATGACCAAAAGAATGCGGAACATATTGATGCATTGTGAAATTATTAATTATTAATTATTCTCGTTATATAGAATGGAGTTGACAGTAGAATACATCTACGCAAGTGGCAAAACAGACGCGTAGTAGATAACCAGATCGCGTTAGTCAGCGGCGCGGTATAAATATCGTTAGTGCACTGCGATGCAAACATTAACAGTGCAGGCATTGGCAAGATAGCAAGATGAAAATAACAGTGGTCTTCATGGTCTTGGCGGTCGTGGTGTGCGCCACGGCCCAGGAATCCGTAAGTTTTAATTCGAACATGATCGCTTATTGATGAATTTCTGGAGAATAATGACGTTCTATTTTGCGCAAAGGGACAAGTACCTTGGTCCGTCGGCCCAAATGTGTTACCAGGAATACCAGGCAGCCCCATTGCATATAATCGGCCAAAGACTCTATTGGAATCAATACCATTCCCAATTCCATTGCGTCAATTAATAGATCCACTTGGATTGTTCCACTCTACTGAACAACGCTCTATCTCTTGGCCTTCTTGGCCTTGGTTACGGTCCCTAGGAAAACCTAAAGCAACCTCTGGAAACATCCCAACAACATCCGGAAGTGCATGGACAAGTGTACCAGGGATACCTGAAAGTGCATGGACAAGTGCACCACGGTTACCTGAAAGTGCATGGGCAAATGCAAATGACGAGATCCCAACTGGAATCCTAACTGGAATCCCAACTGGAATCCCAAATGGAATCCCAACTGGAATCCCAACTGGAATCCCAACTGGTATCCCAAATGGAATCCCAAATGGAATCCCAACTGGAATCCCAACTGCAGTTCCACCACAATATGTACTAGGATAAGAAATGTAAAAACTACCAAGGAAGGAAACAATGGCGAAATATTAAGATTTCATTGGGAAAATATTGTAATATAATTATTTTTGTAATTAACAAAATAAATTATCACTGGGAGTAATATCTAAATTAAATATAGCGACAAAATTATATCGAATGCTTAAATATGAATAAATATAATTTTCCAAATATAATTTTCCCTTTTTAAAAAAAAACTAATTGCGAATATCCGATACAATATTCAATAATTATTGAATAACTAAACGAAATCATAAACATAAATAAATGATAAAATTTACATTTTTCTCTATAAGATTGAATTAATTGGCACCAGAAAGCAAATTCTTTTTATTCAAAGAACCATATCAGTAAATAAATACAAGACACATTTTTATCTATTATCTACTTTGTCAACTCTTTATATATCTTATATGAAAAAGGAATTACGATTCAGAGGGGATTTAACAATATGTAACAACGCGAAAAAATTCGCGGAACTTCGACTTTTGTGTAAAAGTATCTGAAGCACAACTGTGGAGTTGAATAGTGGTGCGCGAAATACCGGGATCCCTCCGGATGTGGCTATAGGAAACTCCCCTACAAACTCCGAACGGTACCACGTCCGCACCATTTTGCCATTCTTCGACTAATGCCTAGCTTATAAAGTCTACGTGTTGCGAGAATATATTAAGCCGAGCATGGCATGTTGTACTGAAGTTTTCTTAGTTTTTCATTAATAAAGTTACTCTACCACAGAGTTAGAATATATTCGTGGATCCTTGAATATTTAAATTTGTGGCCTTCAGAAAAGTTGAATTTGCAGTTCCTTAGGTGGTTAGAATGTTAAACTTTAATTGTCTTTGGGCTTTCACATTCTGGGATTCTAAGGCTTTAAATTTTGGGATGTTTAAATTTTTGAAGTCCATAGATCTTAACGTATTTAAATTTTTAAACGATAGGTTCTCTCAATCCCACTTTTTGGAGCTCATACCCCAAATATTTAATTTTGCCAATTTTCAAACTTTAAGATATTTTTAACATTTTTTTAGATTTTTTGAATATATCGAATTCGATCATTTCGATATTTCAAACAAGTTCTTAATTTGTAAAGAATTCTATAAAATTTTGTAGAATTGAAATGTTTAAAGTCCAAGAATTATTATTAATTAAAACTATTATCATATTATTATTGTTAATCAATCTATTATCGCGAATAAGCTGATTTAAAATATTCTGAATAGCTATTAGTAATAAAATCAACAATGCGGTACGATAAGTTACAACAATAGAGGTATTATTACAATATTCCCTATAATCTGTAAATTATCAGGAATTATCTGAAAGCCATAGATTTTAATAGAACAATGAATAATATAATTTAATGTTAAATAACGCGAAAAACTTCCTTTAACTAACAGCTTTTAAGTATTTATACGAATCCGATGTGAACATGAACGAAAGAGGAGTTTTGCCGTAATTATCTCGATTTTCCACACACATAATTTACAATAGCGCGCAGTGGTCGAATGTATGAATGTGTTTTGCATGAATCTCGCTTCACGCAGTGACAGAAACATGCGATCTCGGTAGTCGACAGGTAAGGATTACGTAAATGCACAGAAATGCCTGGAAATCCTGACGCATTCACCGTTAACGCGTAAGCAAAAAATCTTTACACACTCGCACTGATGCAGTAAAACGAGAACTTGTTGACCTGCGTAATTCCTCCTAGTTTATAAATTAAAAAGATGAAAGCGCGATATTCGAGAATTTCACGCTAGCAAAAAATTGTAAGTTTATAGCGAATATTTTGAAGTTATTGGCGCGTATAATTGGCGTATAATAGTCGTGTGTAATTAGCGCATACACAAATAGTGGAATATATTAATAATGTTACTCTTGAACATCTGAACATAATTTACAGTGCCATTTATTTCTACAATAATCGTAATATTAGAAAATTAGGCTCGTAATATGCAAAGTAAGAAGATAATAGGTCAACGAAACGAGTTGAAGAAAAGATGTAATACTGAAATAAGGTTTATTTGTAAATATTAAGTAAAACACGTATGTGCAATGGTAATTTTAATTTAAGTTAGTGTTTAATTATACTAACAAGACTATTTTTAATTTAATATTATTTTTTGTATTTACTTAATGTACTTGTAAGAAAGATTAATAATATTAGATTAATAATAAATAAAGTCGAAAAAAAGACGTTAATTTTTACTTAATATTTACAAATTATTTCAATATTATATCTTTTCTTTAGCTCGTTTCATTGGCCTATCACCTCCTTACTTTGCATAAAATAATCGAATTTAATCATAGCACAGAGTTAATAAGAATTATTTAAGATTAACACTTTCCTGATGCGTTGTACTTTCATTTCCATAAAGAAAAAATTCTGACACATAATGTATCAATATATTTCATGTATGCAATGCGCATGGCACTTATTGCTTCATTCATCATTTATGCAATATCACGGCTGTACTGTCAGATCTTGAATCGAAGGATATCTTTTCTCACAATAACGCCCCAACATTGTCCTTTCCTTCACAAATCCTTAGGATCCTTCAATCTTATCGCGTCCTCCTCTCAATTCCCCCTCGGAAAGCATCGTGCATCATTTCGCATTCTTTTCTTCGCCGTCCAAGCGGATCGTATGCAGAAAGGGAACGAGCTTTTTGAGAAAGAAAGAGAGAGAGAGAGAGAGAGGAGAGAGAGAGAGATGGATAGTGTAATCGCGAAGGACTCGCGAATGGAAGCCGTTACGAATGTTTTCCGATGGCACAGTTGCTACGACCTCGCCATGAATATCTCCTCCGAAAGAAAGTACTTATGCGCGCTTTACTGCACGCGAGACGAGGCGCGTCCCGGCGTTCTTATGCAAAATCCATTTGAGAATAGAAGAGGAGAGAAAAGACATCGCGCCGCGCCGCGCGCTGCATTGCGCCGCGCCGTGCCGCGATGAAACGTTAAACAAAAGGGACTCGCAAGCGAAACGGAAAATAAAATAGGAAATCCTATAGCCGCGATGCGGCAATTTTGGCGTTGTGACGGGGATTTACTCGTGTTACACGATGTTGTGTAGAAGCAATGTTGGCGATGCGAGAAAACCAATAGACGAGTATTACCCGCTCAGGTCTCCCTACGCCAATATAAAGCGAACAGATTATATATATATGTATATATA